GAGAACCTGTGTACGGATGGAAACTGGCCCCAAATGGCTTCCAGTTGCTTCTGTCACTCTACCCTTTTCTCTGCTGATCACTTTGTGGTTTCTGTACCCACAGAGCATTCAGGCAGTTTTAACAAAAGTAAATTTTTTTCCCCAGGGGAATTGGGTGTGGATTGTGGAGGGGGTTGCTGGGAAGGAAGTCCCCCCCAGGAGAGGGCCAGGCCACAGTCCCCAGATATTTTAGGCATCGTGAGGGACTGCATTTCCTCAGGACCCTCCCAAGGGCCCAGTGAGGAAACTGAGGCCCAGATAGGACAATGGAGTTCTGAGTGGTTGAGGCAAAACCAGACCCCCACTTCCATATCTGTCCCTTCTTCATTAGCCAAGCACTGCACAGGGACCCTGTACCAGGAGGCACTCCCTGGGACCAGGAGATAATGTGAAATACCAATGGTGCATCAAAGACAATAAAAACTAGAAAACCAAGATGGCCATATAGGTAAACACCTGTACTCACAGACTCCCACAATCACATCAAAATTACAAGTAAAATACAGAACAACCATTATCCAGAACTGCTGGAAAGCTGGCTGAATGGAAATCCTACAACCAGAGAAGTAAAGAAGAAAACACACTGAGACTGGTAGGAGGTGCGGAGGCATGGATCGAGCTGGTCTGGCACCCACATGTGCAGCTTTTTTAACTGGGAGGGAGATCTCTGCGGAGGCTGCCAGGAAGAGCCAGCCCCACACCAGCCCCCTAGCCCAGGGTCCCAGAACTGGGAAAAGAAGTCCCTACTGTCAGTAAGAACTATGGGCTATAAAAACCAGTATGGATTGGGGCTCAGTGACACAGAGACTGCTGGAGACCCAGCTGTTCCTTTTAAAAGGCCGGCACCACAAACTGAACTTACAAGGTCCTGCGTCCTCTGAGCTCCAGCACCAGAGCGAGGTTCTGGGGAACACAGACACATACGAGGAGGAACTGGATTGTCTGGCATCAGAGCAGGAACTTGGGGACAGCTTTCTCCAGATGGAGGTGCTTGCAGGGATCATTGTTCCTATGCTGGGACCTCCCCGGTCACAGGGCTGACTGGCAGCCATTTCTGTTTGCTCCACCCTTGTGATTCCCTAAGACCCTGCCTCATCCAATTTACAACCCCACCCACGCTGTGAGCAGCAGCTTTTGCATATGAATGGCCTCTCCTTGCTTAGGCTAAAATCTCTCCAACAAGCGGCAGCTGGGTTAGGGAGTTCCAAACCTATCAATAAAAGGCCCGAGACCTGGCACCAGCACCAGCCTGCCTTGCTTGACAGCTGGGCCTCATCTAGGCACTTCCAAACCTGATACAAAGAGGAGAGATCTGCAGATCTCTCTGTAGCTCCTGCTGAGTGGCCCCAAGCAGTGGCTGACTTTGCACCTCCCTGGAGACCCAAGAGCCAATGTACCCAGTGGTTAGTGTCAGACCATACCAGATTACAACATCCATAAGCGACACACTCAAGGGGCAGACACAGTGAGCACCCCACTGAAGCAAGTCCTGCTCTATAGGGGTCTCCCTGCATAGCAGCTCTTCCATTGTAGTCACAGCTAGTCCTCACAGCCAATTGGCCTGGAGGTCAATTCCTCCCAATGACACCAACAGCAATCAAGGCTCAATTACAACAAGACTGTGCTCACAGCCCACAAAGGGGTGCACCTAGAGTTCCCAGCTCAGGTGACTGGGGAGCTGAGCCACTGGGCCCTATAGGAAACCTACTACACAAGGCCACTCTACCAACTCAAGGTGACTTAGAAGACCTACCCAATACATAGAAATAAACACAGAGAAGCAGCCAAAATACAGAGACAAAGAAACTCGCCCTTCCTCACTCTCTAAAAATCAATTAAAACATATATATTTTTAAATGATCTCACTCAATACACAGAATCTTTACAAAATCAAGCTGATAAATACAGAGGTCCATTGGTTATGTTTATATGCATGCATACAAGTCCTTCGGTTGATCTCTTACTCCCCTCCCTTCTGCCCCCCAACCCTCTCTGGCCTTCCCACTGCAGTTTGACAATCAGTTTGAGGCAGCTCTGCCTCTGTATCTATTATTGTTCAAAAGTTTGTAATGGTCTTTATTATCCATGAATGAGTGAGATCATGTGGTATTTTTCCTTCATTGACTGGCTTGTTTCACTTAGCATAATGCTCTCCAGCTCCATCCATGCCGTTGCAAATTGTAAGAGTTCCTTCTTTTTTACAGCAGCATAGTATTCCATCGTGTAGATGTACCACAGTTTTCTAATCCATTCATCTACTGATGGGCACTTAGGCTGTTTCCAGATCTTAGCTATGGTGAATTGTGCTGCTATGAACATATGGGTGCATATATCCTTTCTGATTGGTGTTTCTGGTTTCTTGGGATATATTCCTAGAAGTGGGATCACTGGGTCAAATGGGAGTTCCATTTTTAGTTTTTTGAGGAAACTCCATACTGTTCTCCACAGTGGCTGCACCAGTCTGCATTCCCACCAGCAGTGCACGAGGGTATTTTGGATTTCTTCAGATAAATACCCAGAAGTTGAATTGCTTGGTCCTTATTTGCCTCTTGTTATAGCCAATTTATATACTAGTAGATACTCTGAGCTTAGAGAATGATAAGAGCTGAATGGAAGGCTTTCTATGAATAAAATTAAGATTCCCTTAGAAAGCAACTCTGGCTCTGTTCTAGCACATACAGTATGAAAACACAATTATAACCTAGAACACTGTTAAGAATATGAGTCCATTACAAAAAAAATTAAAATCTCAGTATGGTATCTACACAGCACTTAAGCAATGCAATGACCTATTAAACACAGTTATGTATCCCTAAGTTATTAAATATCTGATGTTTTATATTGGATATTTAGATATAAGTCCATTAAGTAATACATGTCTGCAAATGTTTGTGTTTTTTGTATTTTTTTGAGTAATGGATATATTTTTGAGAGTTAAGATTCTTATTTTTAGTGTAAACATATACAATACTTTTTTATAACTGCCTGGATATGCCAACCAAAAATAACTTATACATTAAAAAGATAAATTGTAACATTACTTCAATATGCATAAGCAAATCAACAAGAGTTTCACCTATTTGCAGCATTGTAGTAACAATGCAGGTATTTATTATAATTTTGGCCCTAGCTGGTGTGGCTCAGTGGATGGAGCGTCAACCTGCGGACTGAAGGGTCCCAGGTTCAATTCCGGTCAAGGGCACGTGCCTGGGTTGCGGGCTTGATCCCCAGTAGGGGGCATGCAGGAAGCAGCCAGTCAATTATTCTTTCTCATTATTAATGTTTCTATCTCTCTTTCCCTCTCCCTTCCTCTCTGAAATCAATAAAGATATATTAAAAAAAAATGTTTTTGTAGTGTAGCTTATCTTAAGGCACTTGTAATATAGAAATGACAGAAGACATAATACCTCCAAATTTCCAAATGTAGTCCTGTTATTTAGAGACAAAAGAAAAGGTTAAAATGATACAAAAGATATCCTGTATATTAAATAAGTTTTCTTTGTTCTTATAAGGGCTCAAGCATAACCAATGGACACAGACAGTGAGGGCATGTGCTGGGGGGTGGGAGTGGCTGGGGAGAGAGGTCAATGGGGGAAAAAGGAGACATATGTAATACTTTAAACAATAAAGAATTTTTAAAAAGTCACAGAGGTGGATGGCAAGGAGCACATTCAGGGGAAATAGAGTAGACTGCCTGTGAGATACATGTAGCAAACCACACAATGAAAACAAGAAAATCCTATTATAGCAGAAGCCAGTATTAAAGACAAAAAATGGAGTCACAGGAAAAGTTTAAACATCAATTAGTATTTGAAGGCTCTTTCTAAATAGTCTTGGTGTGCAGATGCATTACAGTTAATACCCACTGATCTCCCTCCTTCTCAGTGTTTAGCCTGAGATACTTGGTAATGCTGTAGGCAACTCCAGAAAGATGAAAAGTTCTCACTGGAAGGGTTTATAATTTAACTTATTTTACTTCGTTCATTCAGGAAACATATACTGGGCAGCTAAGAGTTATGAGCACTGTATTATTCATGAATATAAAAGATCCAGTCCTTGTCCTCACATCAGGGGAAACATAAAATCATTAAACTGAAAATACTTTTACATCCCAAAGGAGTGTTTTCAGATATGTAATGAACATTAGTCATCCTGTCCTGTTGACATTGGATATAAACCTGTATTTGAACTTTAGCTCTCCTCAGTTTGTAGCTACGATGTATATAAATGTGGAATAAAACAGCTGACTAAAAATAAGACAATTCTTTTATGCATTTACATAACAATTCCCACGTAGACCAAAGGGGGTTGGACTAAGTTAAATCTAAGACCTCTTCCAATTCCAAAATTCTTATACTTTGATTCTAATTCTATTGAACTAAAATCCTTTAGGAAGGCCAGGTAATAAGAATCAAGAATTAAAATGGCTACATAAATGACAAAGCCAGCAGTTGCCCAAATTTAGGTAAACTTCTAAATGTTTAGTAATTAACCTATCCCAAATGGACTTCCAGTTACTCCTGTACACTCATGCAGATTCCTGTCACATACCCTAAGGTGACTTTACTTCACCTCTCAGTGGAGAGCAGCTATGTGCGCAGCTGGTAAAACAAAATCAACTATGACAGCAACTGGTGATATTCAAAACAACTGCCCAGGGAGTCTTATAAAACACCTCCCTCTGACTGCTGACCTGCCTGCCCCAGCAGACTTACCATCTATAGATCATTACTCAAATGGTGAACTTTATGTAGGCATGCTTCTTACCAACCACCCGTGCCCATGTTCAGTGCTGCCTCCTGGCCCTTCAACAAAGCCCAACACTACACACACTACCTGCTCCTATCACCAAGCCTCCTGCACCCAGATTTCATCTCCGCTATGATCGATCACTCCAGAAAGCTCTTAACTTCCTTCCTGAAACGACAGAAACGCTCATCTGATTGTCATGAGAATAGTAATAATGGAGCAATTACTTCCAGACGCATGGGTAACATTTGTTTATACGTCTGGAGGTTGCTTTGCTTCCTAATTTTCAAGTATTATGGTGTTTATTTCATTAAATGAGTAGTAGATGCCAGAGCGACATTATGGCATCTTAGTTCACTCGTCAGACAAATACCAAGCACTTAGATTCTTCCTATTGTTCTTTGTCTAAAATGAACTCAATATTATTACTTATTTAACTACATTATTTACTTGTATTAGTATTTAACTATAGCTATTTAAAGTATCAGTTATTACCAAATTCTTTTTAAAAATATTTATTGATTTGAGAGAGAAACAGTGATTTGTTGTTCCACTTATTTATGCATTCATTGATTGATTCTCCTGTGCCCTGACCAGGTATCAAACCTGCAACCTTGGCATATTGGGATGACACTCTAACCAATGAGAGTGTCATACCTGGCCAGGGCCTACCCAACTTCTTTAAAAGCAGAATTTAATGGATAATCATCATACTTTTTCCAGATCTACTTCAATAGGGCATACTGCAGAATTCAGGAATTTCCTGAATTGGTATGTCATTTATTCCTGGCAAACCATCACCTTTGTCTTTATACAGTTCATTTTTTCCAAACTAGAAATGTACTCATTTAACTTCGTCCATCACACACAATTAAAAAGAATTTTTTAAGTGCTATTCAGCTTTTAATACGAGTCAACTACTTCATCATGGCATGATAGATAAGTTGCTTGACCTCTGGGCTTTAGTTTATGACATAAAAGGGCTGAAAGACTTCCAGAATGTCTTCCAACCTTAATATCCTTGCGTTTACAATGACATAGTACAAGTACTGAATGTCTCATTCTTAAGAAAACATTCCTAGGGAATCATTAACAGCGAGGCATATTGTTTTTTCGTTTTGTGTTTTTGCAGTTTTTTAACTTTATTCGGCAATCAGTGATTAGTTCTGATGCACATTAACTGTTTGTAGATTTTTGAAAGTGGGGACAGGTACAAAGGTGACAAATCTATAGAGCTTGGTTGGCGACTCTTCATCCTCATGATGTTTTTTGGACAACCATACCCAGATATGGTATCGGACATTCCTTATTCCTTTCGCCCAGTCAGTTTTGTTCAGCCTGGTGTCAATGCCTACATCTGGAGTTCCCATCTTCTTCAGGGCAAATTTCTAGATCTCCTTGAGTGCCGGAGGGGCACGCTTCTTTGAAACCCACTCCATGGATGCGCTTGTGAATGTTGATTGTGTGTTCTCTGGTCACTACCTCATTGATGGCAGAATGGTCCCCCTTCTTCTCACCACCCTTCTTAGCGGGAGCCATTATGCCTGGCCCAAGTTGGAAAAAAAGAGCGCGAGGTATTGTGGGAGAGGGAAGGTAGGGTTGCAAGTATAACTTCCAGGTCACCTGGACGAGGCATATTCTTTTTTAAAGATAATTTACTTTTAACAAGGAGTCTGTTTTCAATAGATATTCACTTACCATGTCTTAAAAATAGGAAAATACACCACTAGACATTCAAGTTTATACAAGTTTCCATCTTGTATACCATTTTCTTCTTGACAGAAAAATTCTAATAATGCCATGGTGATAATAGTTACGTAAAAATAATACAAGTGCAATGTCAACAATTCAGCATTACCAAGTTTTTCTGCAGGAACAAGGAATGGGCAGAATATCATTGTGAAAATGTTTATTTACTAAATAACCTTGATAAATTGGATACTTTTCAAGGAACTCCTAGAGAATGAGAGACCAAACATACTTTTAACATGCTGAAACTTAAAAAGAGACAAATGCCTGCTTTTCCTTTCACTGAAACAAGCTCTAATAAATGTACTATTCACCCACAAAATAACACTTTTATTTGGAATTCCCAGATGACTCAGCTTTATGCTGCATCAAATAATATGCCATATTTCTTCGACCCTGTTAATGATTAGGTTTTCCTTGAGAATATCACATTTTTAATTCTTCTTTTATGATATATATTATTGAGATCTTTAAAAAGAGAAAGTATGAACTGCTGTAAAAAAAGAAGGAATTCTTACCATTTGCAACAGCATGGATGAGACTAGAGAGCATTATGCTAAGCGAAATAAGCCAGTCAGAGAAAGATAAATATCACATGATCTCACTCTTTTGTGGAATATAATGAACAACATAAACTGATGAACAAAAATAGAACCAGAGACACAGAAGCATAGAACAGACTGTACAACCTTCGAGGGAAGGTGGGGGGAGGGGGTAAGAGATCAACCAAAAGACTTGTATGCATGCATATGAGCAAAAGCAATGGACACAGACAGTAGGAGGGGTGAGGGCTTGTGCTTGAGGGAGGGGGTGTCAGGAGAGAGGTCAATGGGGGGAAAAAGGAGACTCATGTAATACTTTAAACAATAAAGAATTTAAAAAAAAAGAAAGTTAGAAAACTCTTCTTGAATAATAATTACTGAGCTGCATGGATTTTTCTGTTGGCTTTATTACTTATTTATTTTTAACAAGAGAAAATGATCAAATTTAATACATACATAATGTATGGGAACACCAGATACATGAGAGCGTCAGAGACCCACATGCAAGAGAAGTTCCTCTGTTGGCTTTTTATTTAAAGCATTGATTAAATATGCTGACAAAAATAACTGAACATATTTAGTTGCCACACGTTTATTCACTGAAATGCCATGAGTTTTAGTTTCTGGAACCAGTACTTCAATTTGAATTACTTTCACTGCTATACTAACAACTTTGATCCCTAAGGACAACACTGGTAGCACTTAACGGTCTCTGTGCTGACACAATACTATCATGTATCAGGGTTATGGTGATCATCTTATTCCTTCAACCACGGGGAATTACTGGAGGAGAGGAGCAGCTGTGACTTACTCAAGTATATTTCCCAGCACTGAGCCCATGGTTTTTAAACAGTAGGTTCTTCCTAAATCCTCGTTGAATAAATAGAGCTCAAATGTTCATCATATATATTGTTTATATGTCAATGTCTTCTTATATAGATCTATTTGTATGTCTCTAAGATGAAATTTAATCTTCAAAAAGCATTTGATTCTGATTAGTGTTTTGGTTATCTTACCTATTCAATCAGCAAACTCCTGGTAACCAAATTATCACAAAAAAATTAGTTGCGCTATAAAATTGGTTAGGTTAAATATAGTAAAGCAAGCCAATGGAAATAAAGATAAGTGGATTTTTAAAAAGAAAAAGAACTTCTCATCCCATTACAAGGTAAGTTCTAGAAGTGTAGACTTGGCCTGACTTGTTTGCTGCTGTATCCCCAGCTTCTAGCAGTGTCTGGTGCATAGTAGGCCCTCAATAAATATTTGGTGAATGAATAGATTGCTGATAAACCGTATTATCCTACCTGCTTGTATATATTTAGTTCAGAACGTCAACAGAATTCATTTGTAGAGTGCAACGCTCCAATATAGGTTTATACTGAAGTCTGATTGTGGCAAAGGCTCTAGGGATTTGGGATTACCAACCGTAAAGTAAGAGTAACTTTACATCCCAGACTGATCAAGCCTTGGCTACATCACATGCAGGTAAGCAAGAATTTCAAGTCATTATCCCCACACATGTAGACAGTGCCAGTGCCAACAACAACAAGTCAGCTTTTCTGGTAAATCCATCAAAATTAAACCTTAAACTTTTGGGAAAAAAAGCTAATATGTTTATTATGCTCCTTCAAGCTTAGAGGCTTAACTATCTGTGGGAAGGGCCTATAATTATGATAAATTACTTATGACTGGAAGGCAACTTATAAAGGCATCTGCCCTTTTAAGAAACCTTTAAAGAACCAGCAACAATCCTGTGGGGCAACAATAAATCACTGGTTTGGGAGCTCAACTTTGACAACTCTACCTTGGAAGGAAAAGAATTATTGTCACCTGTCCTCGATTTCCTGACCCTGCAAATATCAGCAACCTCTGAAGTCCAGAATCCTAGTCTAGCCACACAAGTCATGGGGGCCAATGATTGCCCCAAGGCAGAGGCGGAAGAGAAGAAACGGGAAGGAAACTAACTGGAATGGAGATCTGCAGCTTGTGAGGATGACATCATCAATAATTTCCTCAAGTGTCACTGACCTTCATGGCATATGACTGATGGGCGTTTCTGACAAACTACAGGCTCATTATATTCAAGTAGCTTCTTGGTTTCAGAGCTGATGTCTGGGCTTAAGTATGATTTGTCCTATCGTACAAGTCAGGCGAACTGATGCCTTCCTTACTGGGAACTGGCTCTGAGGCAAGGGCCCACGAATCTGCCTGAACACAAATAATACTTGGACATGTGAAACACTTTTAAATGGACAAAGTGCTCTCACAGACACTATCTCAGTTTCTCCTTACGACTTGTACGAAGAAACTTCACATGTAAAGATACTTTTAGAAAACGACCCCTTGTCTTCAATTCATAAGTACAGCTTACAAGAATAGCCTGTGCTTTGTAAAAAGCAGTGTTGCACAGGGGTGCCTCCATAACACCTCTACGTCAGGACAGCATCTTGTTTACACACATGAAGATCATCCTTGATTGGACACTCTTCAGAGGTAACAAACAAAATAAAACAAATTTTAGTCCTAAAATTCTAGTGGTGGAATTCATCCTTTGGGAAACACCTAGGTGATTCTTTTAGGAAGATAACTCAGTTACATGGGACAAAATGTACCCTCGTTTTTCCCTTCATTATCGCAAAGACTCCCCAAAAGCGTTTTTGTGTCTTTTCAAGGAAGAAAACACACGAACAAAAGGTTAACGTATTGCTTTTATATGTGATCCCATCTTCCTAAAACACAGTTCTCCCAATCTCATTATCTTTTGTCCCTCTCGGGCTTTACTGGTTAAGTGGAGGTATAATGGGGTCCTTATCTTTATAGCCATTTACTACCTTATTTATGTATTTATGATTCTTTGCTGCCTTCTAGCCTGAGTCTCACTGTGTCAGGAACAAAGTGCCACACAAATCACCAGCCTGGAATAAGAGGAGACAAGTTAAAACCTCCCAGGATGAGTCTGTAGACACTTGGACTCCCTGAGTCTGTAGAGAGCTTGGTATTTCAAAGGTCAGTCTTGGGTCTCTCCACTTTGATGACTAATGTTAAATTGTTTGACTTGTTACAAAAATATTTAGCTGTCCTTATTTACATATTTTCATCCACAGTGCACACAGTAGGCACATATTTGTCGAACAGAATCCCTAGATGGATAAGAAGTCAGGAAGAAGAACCCAAGGCCCTTTTCCAACACATTATCTCGAGAGTTGAGGAAAGGTAAAAGCACACCCTAGTTTGTAGATGTTTCTGAGCATTCCTTTCTGACTTGAAACTATTCATCTGTTTAGAAAATAAAAAGAGAACACACCACACAGTGTCAACCACACAATGGGGAAATTCCAGGATCACCAAGAAAACACCCTTATCCTAAGGCACACACACACTTTACTACTGGTTCCACACAGGAGACTTCAAGAACTTTTGTCTCCCCTACCCACTGCATAACCCTCCAGAAAAGGCAAAGGCAGAATTTAGAATTTAGAATCTAAGGTTCCGTATCTTGGACTCATATCTACCCCGTTGGAGAAGTAGTCCAAAGACTATGTTGGCCCAGAGACATAAAATAATAGACAGGCAATATTTTTAGAATATTTAAAAGAACACTGTTGGAAAATGGGCATCAGCACTTTAGTCCTTAGACCATCGAGACTACTACTTATCATTATCTCTTTAATAAAGAGAAACCCTGGGTGTGATTGGTAAAAACATTGTTTCTGCATTTTTTAACCTTATTTATACCAGTATAAAGTTCTCTTCCTTCAAATTATCACTGCGTCCTGCTACCTCTCACTTACACTCAGTCTCTCAAAAATTCCCCAAAGCCCAG